TTAATATTAATATTTAATATTACTGAAAACATGAAGTGTATCCCACTCATACTCCCAAGCAGCCCATTGCCACTGTTTGTGCTACTAAAAAAAAAACCTACTGCCGTCGAGTTTTGAGTTGATTCGACTCATAGCGACCCCTCCTTGGGTTTCCAAGGCGGTATCTCTACTGGTTGTGATAGGCATATATAAAGTCCAGGATCCCAGCGACAAGGATTAGCCAGCTTGGAAAGAGCCAAAGAGTAGTGGCTTCCTTCCTTAAGAGTACTTAAGGGAGGATGGCTGTTAGAAAAGGATGTAAGAAGCAGTTCCAGGGATTTCAGATCACTCCAACTTCTTCAGGAAGAACCTGCCTCTTTACCATGCCCCATCACCCAACAATCCCTGCTATAGAGCACAGAATGCTGTGGAGCACCCATCTAGAGCTAGTGTGTCAACAAGCATAGGCACTACATATCAGATAGGAAAGGAGTTCAAGTGAGCAAGCAAATTCAATAGACAGATTAGATTATACTTTATGCTGCCTCTAGGTTTAACAAATCTGAGTCATCAAATTGTTGTTTTAGGTAAAAAGGGAAATGATCAACAATATTGTAAAAAGAAGATTGTGCTATAATACCATGCATTCCACATGGGAGCTTTCTACAGAAGTTAAGGCTGAAGGAGGGAGGCAGGCAGGTGGGCTTCTGGTAGGGCTGCCTGGGAGGAGCTCTTCTGTGTGACGTGAATCCAGGGATACTTGAAACAGAGAAGAGATGAGGATGTACAAAGCACTTAGAAATCCAGCAAGGTCTCAAAATGCTCCAGATCCTAGAGTCACCTACATAGGGGAAACTCAGTAATATTTTCTTTGAGAAAATGAGTTTCTGTGAACTTATGGGGCCAAATGCTCATCACTACTTGAAATAGTTTTTAAAAAAATCACCAACCAATTCCTTGTGAAGCTCTGGAAGGGAACCTCTGAGCCCCTTGATTCTTTTAGAATTTGAATTTCAGGTTCTAGTCTCCATCCCATTGAAAGATGAGAGAGAGTGATTTAAAAAAGAGAACACAAAATTATTGATGTTTTCTTTCTCCTAGCACCTGTAAAGATGGGTGGCTTGATTTTACTGCCATGCTTATCCCTATTTGAAAGCAAAGGGATGTCTTATTACCTGAAAATAACATTTATTGATTTTTTTTTCTTTCCACCTTTACAATGCATCTTTTTTGCTCACATGGCCTATCTGAGGTGGTTCTGAATCTGCCTTGTTGAAACCTGGAATTCCCCCTGTCTTGGAAAGAGTGAGAGTACAAATATTTCTCTTTCACGTCTGTTTGTTGTCAGTTAACTGAGTATTCAGAGTGTTATCACTTTATTCATGGTTTCAAAAATCTCTGACTGGGCACAGGTACAGGACTTAAAAGCCTGACACATGACAGAAATGCATTTCTAACTTTGATAGTTCATAAAGCATGAGGCTTTAATGCTGTCATTTGGTGCTGGTCTCAGCACAGAGTTGATTGTAATCTGGCCAGGTTTTCCTGTTGAGTAGGAAGAGGATGAGAGAGCCCCACATTTCCTCATTGTCACCAATTCTGTATGGTTGAGGTAAGAGTGAGACTGGGTAGGGAGGGTTCTGGATATTTTTCAAATTAAAAAAAAAAAAAAACAGTGATACTAGGCCACAAAGATATAATCACGAAGATCTTTTTAATGGAAACTTGGGGATTGTGTGTGTATATGTTTGGGGGATGGTCTGTAAATTAGGAAGAGGCATGAGGAGAATCAGAGGGCTTGTAAAGTGAGTAGAGTGGGCATGAAGGGAGAGGGAAGGTATGTTGCATGCTATCTAAGAGACCAGGAAGTAGAAGATAAAGAGGATAGGGGCTCAGAGAGGCTTTAACTGTGTGGCCTTGGATAAGAAATTTTCCCCTCTGGAACTTGACTATAAAATAAGGAGTTGAAGTAGTTTTTAAAATATCCTTCCAGCTTAACCTTTTTTGTGGCAATTCTACAAATGAGAAACATCATCACCATTATTTCAGCAAACACATGCGCATTTATACCTTCATGAACTTTTGGTTTTGCATTCTTAGCAAATGGTGGTTGCCAGCTCTCATGCTGTGAAAAATAAAATTTTAGAAGGGGATAGAACCAGTGAGAATGTGCACTGTGGTTGAGCTAGGTTAAAACCTAGGACTATGAGATTCTCTCTTCCTCTGGACTTGTGAACATTGCTGAGTTATGCTGAGTTATGTTCTTTTTTTATTTTTTAATCTTCTCATCTGGAGAATCGCAACATAAATCCTCATCTCTACCTCATCATATTTCAAAGAGGGTTAATTAATTCATCATGTGCATAACGTGCCCAGGAATTCACTATTTTGCATACATTTTCTAGTTAAACTTTTGAGATTGTACATCCATTTGTTTTGTACACATGGAGTGCAATTTGGTACACACAATAAAACTGAAACTGTAGTTTGCATTGTGAACTCAAGGGATACATTTTCACTGATGTTTACAATATATCCCAATTTAGTATCCTTTGGAAATTTCATGTAAGTATGGCTTTAATTCTCTCTCTCACCCCAGGTTTTTGTGAGGAAAGAAATGTAAGCAACCTCTCATTGAACTCTTTCTGTCTTTTAAATCTACTCTTTCCCACTTCAACTCATGTGGGATTGAATGTTACCTCTTGTTTGGAATCTTGCAGAGAGTTTTGATGCAAGTCAGTATCCTCTTTGTTTCCTGCCTTTTCAAGTAAAATATCCTGGAGGCAAGTTAACTCTACTAGGATGATCTGTTTGCAGTTTCATCAGAACCTTATTCAAGTATCTTAAGCCAAGGAGTCCTAGAGATCTTTTTACAAAGCTTCTCTTATTTCTCATCTATCTCTGATTTTCTTTTTTTTTTCAATTGTGATTTGGGTGAAAGTTTACTCAGCAAATTCCATACAGCAGTTATTTCTGATTTTCTTAAATGTCAGAGCCACACTAAATCAGGGGTCAGGAAGTATTTTTTCTGAAAGGCACAAGATAGTAAATATTTGAGACTTTATATACCATATACTTTCAGCATCAACTATTCAACTCTGCCTTTGTAGCATGAAAACAACCATAGATAATACATAAACTAGTAGTCATGGCTGTGTTCCAGTAAAACTTTATGGAGACTGAAATTTGAATTACATATAATTTTCACATGCCATTAATATTATTCTTCTTTTGACTTTTTCCAGACATTTAGAAGTGTAGAAACTATTATCAGATCTTTAGCTATACAAAAACAAATGGCAGACTGGATTTGGCTTGTAGGCCTTAGTTTTCTAACCTCTTTTTTAGATGGTCGCTTCTGGACTGGCAAATATGCATACTAAATTTTATTCTTTCTAGTCTCCTGATATCTTAGTAACTCAGATTATCCAAAAATTCTTCTCAGTTGGTCAGCCAAGTTTGCATGTCTTGGGTACCCTGAATGCCTGTTCTAGTGACCTCTGAATCCTGAGGGTTATTTTACTAAACAGGAGAAAAAATAAATGAATCTCGAAATTCTAGAAGCTTATGCTTTTTATTTTTATGATGATTTAGTC